TTTGGTGCCCAAATGCCATGCCACCAGAAGGAAAGAAGGGATACTGCTAGGTTGCCCAAGCCTAGACGGGGGGAAGTCGAGAGGCAGAGGTCTGGTTCCAACCACGGACCTTCCGGTCAGTAAATTCGCGCTCTAACCATTTGGGCCTCTCTTACTGAGTGGCATTTACGGATGGGGATAATGTGAGGTATAAAGTGACTGAGGTTCCGAGGAATTCGTACTGATTACGCAATATCTCTGATCGAACTCCTGCTATGTAGTAGGTTTCAGGCCTTCAAAAATCAGAAAAATAGCCTTATATCCAGTCTACCGAAAATCTTATAGCATTTAACGGCAACCTGAGGTTCTAGAACAAAGTCTAATCAATATGCATTCGGTCACAAGTGTTCGAAACTATCGGGTGTCCTGATTTCAGCTCACCGGACAAATCCAGTGAAACGTGAATCTAACGCATCCGGTCGCAATTCAGTTCGGAATCAATCTACTAGTTAACTAGGGCGGATAGACAAAACTGTGTGCAGACTTCATCGTTCAGTATTTGGCTTCCGACAATTTTTAGGTGACCGTTACTCGCGCGGGTAAGGTGAATCGTGACTGACTGACACCTGACAATTTTAATCCAGCTGCCGTTTGCTGTGCTTCCTTTCCAAAAAAAGGACATTTTTCACAGGCGTAGCTTGCTGAACCCAAGTTTGGCGCTGTCAAAACTTGACAAATTCAATAAAACATTTCCTCGGAAGGCCATGCGCTCACGAAGACCATTAGTTTTAAATAAGTCGTTCAGCTTGAGCACCTTTCCAGAGCCTAGCTGCCCTACCACCAGAGGGAAGCACTAGGACTTGGATACTGACAGGTTGCCCAAGCCTGGACAGGGGAAATCAAGAGACAGAGGTCAAGTTCGAACCACAGACCTTTCAGTCAGTAAATTCACGCTCTACCCACTCGAGCCATATCTTCCTTAAGCGGAGGGACGACCTCAACACTCCGTATTCCTAGCCGGGCACCCATACAAGTACTAACCGGGCCCAACGTTGCTTAACTTTGGTGATCAGACGAGAACCGGGGTTTCGAACATGGTGTGGTCACGGCCATTAGTCCAGCTTCTAGGGAAATGATAGTCCCATTGTCTAGGTACTTAGCCCCCTAAACTCCGGTTTCTGGGACATTGTGGTCGACAAACAATATACAAAGTTTAACATAAGATATCGATCGAAGAAATGGCATGCCTAACAGCATGTACTGGACAGGCTATAGGACCAGAAAGTCCTACTGGATCAATGAAGTGGTTCGCCTTTATTTGGATTTTGCGGGCACTTTGAGTCCTAATTCCATCGAATTTACACACAGAACGTCTTTGTATTCGTGTTCGACAGTGGCTTTTATCACGTTTAAAGCACTGAATCGCCTCAAACACCTGATCGCCTGCACTACAAGTAGGCGTATTGGAGGACCAATGAACTTGTCTTTTACATTCCTATTCGCTGCAGTGCTTTCGGCACCAAATCTTCTCTTAAGTGCTCGTTTAAGGGGGAGCTGGGTAGACCTTAATTCATAGCCAACAATGCGCTAAAAAAGAAACGGCGCGGGTAGAATAGTCAGATGACACTGCTTTCGAAAACCAGTGGAACTGATGATTGTACTGGTTCTGTACCGTTCGAACACCACAACCATACATATAGTACTTAGATTTCCAAAGCTATTGAATAACATCAGAACAGATGTTGACTGGTGCTAGAAACGTCACTTGTAAGCGAATCGTAAAAGGCGCCGGACCATAACCCCCTTTGATAGTATGGTGAATATGATGGGCAAACTACCATCAAACATCTCAGTGTTCCCCTTATCAAGGTCACAAGCTGGGTCTGTAAACAACAGAAAAGAGCTGGCAGTCAGCAGTTACAGCCCTACTGGCTATTCTTATGAGACGATTCGAAAGATTTTTAAGATGACAAATCCATAACTTCTGTGGGTTGGTGTCGGTGAATCCGTAAGGAGACAGTTAGAAGGCGAGTTTTCGGTTGTGCAACGGGTACTTCCATTGAAGAGTGTGTCCAGCATTAGAAGCTGCGTGTGGGTTGGGACATGTGTTGCGTATGTCAAACCAAAGTGTTGTTTTTCATGACTAACTCAGAGTGGCGGAAGCAGAAACGTGGCAGAGGGGAATGAAGTGAGTTACGAGACGTTTGGTTGCTGTTCGTGCTACTCACCTTGTCCGTACCGTAAGGAGACAGTTAGAAGGCGAGTTTTCGGTTGTGCAACGGGTACTTCCATTGAAGAGTGTGTCCAGCATTAGAAGCTGCGTGTGGGTTGGGACATGTGTTGCGTATGTCAAACCAAAGTGTTGTTTTTCATGACTAACTCAGAGTGGCGGAAGCAGAAACGTGGCAGAGGGGAATGAAGTGAGTTACGAGACGTTTGGTTGCTGTTCGTGCTACTCACCTTGCAGGATGGGGACCACATGATCCCCACTGCTCCTGGGTGGAGACACTGCAAGACATGGGTGTCACTCGATCTCACTGGCTTTCTTTTTGCCAGTTTCTATCCAGATTGCCTGAGTAAGTGTATGGAGGTGTAGGCACCTCGAAACGATATAAGGAATCTAGCACTAAGTCCCTTCCCCGTTCACCTTGATTCTTTTCTTCACAATAAGGTTTTCAAATAAATCATGGTTGTACGGCAGTCAAGCATCGGTGTTGAATACTGATGTCATGCTGTCCACGATGATGATGACGGTGATGGATATCCATCCGTATCGAGTCTAGTAAGAATCCTCAAGAATAATGGAAGCTTCAACTAGGATAGCCCCACATTCAAGATGCCCGCTGTCCAAAATCTTCCATTGGGTATGCAAAATGCAGTATGAAAAATGCACAAAGGAACATGCACTGACAACGACTGTTTTACAATGAAATCGCTTAAAAGAGTTGAGACTTTTGGCGGAAATGTTATCTGAAGATGAGTAAGACAGAGCACAAAAGTGGTCTTTAAACACTGCTGATCACTGTGTTGTTGCCGACGTTCTTGTGCGAACTGCAGCTTGAAAAGAAAGTTGATTTCACTGGAACAAATAGGGTTGTCACCATTTGTTTAAAATGGCCAACGATCGATAAATGTCGTGGATTGGGTTCACATAGCTGGTTGTAATTGAAGATGAATCACTAACAGTGGCTTACCGACTGGTTGAAAGAACCAGGAAAACCGATCAGCATGTATGCCTTAGAAAGGTTCAGCTAGTGAAGCGTTTACATCTCAGTACGTTGAAAGAACCAGGAAAACCGATCAGCATGTATGCCTTAGAAAGGTTCAGCTAGTGAAGCGTTTACAGGGCATCTCAGTACAAATCTTTCGGTTTTCATAACACTTTTGTCGGAAAATCAACCCCCACATTCCAATACAACATTCGCTGAGGCTATTTAGCTTAACAGATGGAAACTGCTTATAGTTTGACGCCGTTAACGTACCTTAATCAACTTGCTCGGAAAACAACCGGTGTCAGCTTACAAAAATTTGATTACCAAAGGAAAACTGGCACTCGAAGTAACCCAAGTCTACTAAAAGTGTATACGTGCATTCCCACTCACAGGCAGTTCACCTTGAACCCGATTACCAGTTTTCGCTTCCTAGAATTCAAGGGTGGAGAATCAATGCTTTTTGGAGAAACAAGTGGTCAGATAATGCCTTGTGGTATGTCAGACACACTTGACCGATTACGGAATGCGTTGGATTCTAAAACTCGTAAGAAATTGACAATAACTGAAGAGGCACACAGTTTTTGGTAGCCTGTGACCCCCTGGAACCATTCCACATCCGAAATTGATGGGACTGTGTTGGAATATTGGTAGCTCGGGTGAGTTTATTGGTTGTTGATCAGGTGTCTGTTGATCTGTTCGCCGAGCTTGGTAATTGATTTGCAAAAGTTTCGTCACCATTCGAGGAGACATCTTCAGTGCGCTGTTGGTTGGGTAGTTCCTCTCTTCGTGTCTGCGTTTATATAGTTTACAAAGAGTAGCCTTTGCACTGTAACCTGGATTCTGGTTGGTCCAACTTTACTCTGTGTTGAGTTGTGGTTTGTATTTCTTGCTTCCTAGAGCCACGCTACTATTGAAATTTCCGTCCATTGTTGTCTCTTCCGGTTGGTCCGTTCTGGCAATTTCAACAGTAGCGTGGTTGTAGGAAACAAGAAATACAAACCACAACTCAACACAGAGTAAAGTTGACCAACCAGAAAACCAGGTTACAGCGCAAAGGCTGCTCTTTGTAAACTATATAAGCGCAGACACGAAGAGGGGAACTACCCAACCAACAGCGCACTGAAGATGTCTCCTCGAATGGTGACGAAACTTTTGCAAATCAATTGCCAAGTTCGGCGAACAGATCAGCAGTCACCTGATCAATTAATAATATTCCACATCTATCACTTGCATTTACATTTTCACGCTTGTGACCATGCTCTTCAAAACTGAACGATATTAATCAGATAAGTACGTCGGTGAAGTGTACTCGCAAGCAAAATACACTGCTGCCAACAAGAGAGTGAGCAGAATGTGCTGCACAAAGTCAAGACATTCGCAGAAATTCAGTGTAATAGGTGTTCGGTGGGGTGGGGCAGACTCCGCACGGATCTTGTTGAACAGATTAAGCGCCGTGCGAAAAGTTTGGAGTCGAAAAACGGCATGGGAGAATGAGGTGCGGTGGAAAGCCTTTTTCAAAAATGCCTACAGTCCAGCGTCACTTGATTGCATCTGACAGGCAACTGATGTCCGAAAGGCACCAGTGCAGAGACATGATAGCGGACCCATACAACGCTGTACGTGACTCTACTTAGTAGTGTACTTCGGCCGAAACATGCAACTCATAAAGTAATTAAAAATTTACTGGCAGCTCCGCGTCAGTTCACCGGTTAGTCGCCGGTGACTAGCAGATAACGCGCATCTGTATAATCAAATCAATAACATACTCCAAAGCAGTGGTCAGATATATAAAATGTGAACACAACTCACCTAAACATCCGATGAGGCACAATACTCCAAGCACCAGAGCAGCAATCGCTCCGCCTGACATGTGGTCGGGCATTTCAGGGAGTTTCAAATCAGTTACGCACCTTGACCAGTAATACTGATAAAGATATCACTTGATTCATCATGTAACGAAAGAAGCGTCCGCCGAGCAATTGATTGAACATTCACAATTCAGAAAAAGTATGACATTTTAGTAGAAGAATGCGGTAACACAGAGCATTCGAGCTGAAAC